TACAACAAACTTAGCTTTTCACATTCCAGAAACAGAATGGATTTGAAAGCTAGGCAAACCTGATTGTCAGTGGCATCTAGCTAAATACTGCTAGAAATAAAATTCTGGAGTTTGGTTGACAATCAAATGGTGACTGTGCTGTCCAAAAGTGCCAACATTTCATTAGTACTAACTGTTTCCAACTGGACAGTCCAATCAATTTCCACATTTGTTGCTCCACAAAAATTGTCTGAGATTGCCTAACTTGTGAGAAAGAAGGGGAAAAGCAGTATGGTCCTTCTACACAATTTGAAAGCAAGGGTGGGCAATACTTTTATTAGATCACTAAACAATCACAAGCATGAGCTAGCTTTTTTTTTAACCCCACACAAGTCTTTATCAGGCTAGGTACCACATTCGGGGTGGTGAGTGGGAACGACAGATTACCCACCTATAATTGTAGTTCTTCGAGTGGACCTCTGTGATTCACACCCTGGGTGATTCACGCCTGTGTGGAGCCTCATCAGAAAGTTCTAGAGCTTCTGAGGTAGCAAAAACGATATTAAAATAACGCCCCTTCCTACCATATAAGTACCTTGGCGCCAAGTGTCCGCTTTCAGTTGTGTCAATTGTGTTAATAGTAAGCAAACAATGGCATGACACAGGGGAGGATGGGCGGGATGTGTGAATCACAGAGGTCCACTCGAAGAGCTGCAGTTACAGGTGGGTAACCTGTCGCTCTTCTTCGTGGCCTCTGTGAATCACACCCTAAGTGACTAATAAGCTGTTTTACCCAGAGGCGGGGTGTCACACCAAGGTAGAGGCTTATTGGATGTTTGAAGAAGTTTGCTGCTGGGGAATTTGAAGGTTGGTATGATATTACTGCTGAAAGGTAGACTCTCAAGGATGAGATGGAGAGGCCCTTGGATTTGAGAAGTAGAAGGAAGTGGAGAAGAGTGGAAAGTGATGGATTGATGGAGGATGATGAGGAAGATTTGGTAGAACGTTCATTAACAAGGGAGAATCCTCCACACTGCCAGGTGTAGAGCAGGTAGGTCCGGGTGTAGGAACTGGGAGTTGTTTTGTGTGAGAAGGTGTGGCAGGCGGTGGAGATGGTGGATGTCTGATGAGAGACTGTGGAGAACTGGGAAACAAGTCTGTCTCGGCCACCAAGGGGCTATAACAATGGCATTGTTTTTGTCTTGCTGTAGACGGATGACGAAGAGTCAGACACGACTTAACAACTAAACAACAAGACAGACGACAACTTTGTGGAGGACAGGGAATGGCAGAAAAAAGTAGGTAAGACTCTTCGGCCAATGGCTGACAAACGCATCTCATTGGGACTGTTTTCTATTACTGCTTGGGAGCAGTACAGTTGGCATTTCCGATTTGCTTGGGAGGCAAAGAGATCAAGACTTGGTGTGCCCCATCTCTGGCATAGTTGGTGGAATATTGATTGATCGAGTTCCCACTTGTGAGCTTGGGCATTTTTACGGCTGAGCAAGTCTGCTAGGTTGTTGTCTTGACCAGCAATGTGTGAGGCTGTGAGACAGATGTGATGTTGCAGACACCACTCCCAGAGGTCGACCGCCAGGTAGAGGAGACCTGGGGAGTGGGTGCCACCTTGTTTTAGGATGTAGTACATCACCATGGTGTTTTTAGTGGCGATCTGTACTATTTTTCCTACAAGAAGTTTTCTGAAAGCCTTCCAGGCTTTTATGACGGCTAGTAGCTCCAGCTCGTTTATGTGGAGCAATTTTTCTCTGTGAAACCAATTGGTGTAGACTGTCAGGGACTTGCAATGAGCCTCCCAGCCAGTGCAGCTGGCATTGGTAGTGACTTGTATTCATGGGCGAGGTTGTTGGAACAGTCACCCGATCAAAATTTTGGTATGGGAATGCCACAATTGAAGTTGAGAGGCCATTTCTGAAGTGACTCTTAGGAGAGTGTGGGGAGAGTCTGTTAGTGGATCACATATGGCCAGAAACCAGGATTGGAGAGATCTCATTTTGAGAAGAACATGCTGTACAACTGATGTCATAGAGACCATGATGCCTAGAACTTGTTTCACCATTAAGGCAGGTGCGAATCACCCAGGTTGTGAATCACAGAGGCCACAAAGAAGAACATAAAAGTTCTCAAACATATGACCACATATGTTGGCCGGGTTAACTTTATTAAATCAAATTGGAAAATGGGAGCAGAAGACTCAGGTCAGAGGTGCAAGTTTCTGGTGGTGTGGATTAAAACATCTCTCCCAATCATGTCAAACAAAGTGTTGTCAATTATTCACTATCCCCCTTCCCCATCATGGCCCTCTATCAATTCCCCACCAAAAAGAAACCATGGGAAGATTGTACAGTAACCTTGTCTCCTGGGAAGCTGCCAAAAGAGGCAGGGAGACATCTTCTTGTGAGGTAAGTTCTCTCTTTCTAAACAGGAAAATATGATTAGTGGAGGAATAATTGGGTACCTGTAAAAGTGTGAGCTGCTTAGGTGTGTGGATTTGCAAGTAGAAAGGCTTAGATGAGAAGCCAGTATCTTTAAGTAATTATGCCAAGGTAGACTCCTCTGAGGATCCATGCATGGTTAGGGGATAGATTCTAGAGGAACTATACAGTACATAGATTGGATCTATTTGTTCTCCTTACACCTAAAATTAGGGAGAAAGGAGTGGGCCTAAGAAGAAAAATGGGTTGACAGAAAGATAAACAAAGCTAAAGTCTTCAATAAGTGGACTAAATAATGTTTGTGAGGGTTGTCCAGTTGGATTGACTTATTTCAGGCAAATGTGGCATTTGACTAGTGATTAAATCACAGCAGTAATCAGATTAGTAATTTGCACTTAACTACAATTTGAATTTCAGTCTGCTTTGTATTGATTGTAAATAGCATGTGATATGTTATTGTGTTTAGGTCCTGCATATCTAACATGGCTGAGTTATGGTTGTAATAATTATAAAGTATCAGAAAATCTAAACTGAAAAGAAGGTCAAGAGGAGATTCATTTACCTTTGAGGCTTCCCTAATTAAACTAGATAGTTCTCTTTCCACAAGGCAATGTCTCACTAGTGTGCTTTGTGGCTCCTCCCCTATTACTTTAGCGTGTAGATATAACATGTCTTTGCAAAATGACTCATTCTTAACAAGGCAGGCCACCCTGAGATTTGAAAATTCTGATATATGTTGAAAAACTGCTGATCCCTGCAAGCTTTTTTATTCTGCCAAACCCCCTCCCCAACAAGCAGGGATAATATCAATATAAACATTATGCATACAAGCTCACATATAGACCAAGTAGACAAATATGTGTATTTGGGATCTTTGATTAACAACCACATAGACTGCAATATAGATAAAAAGTGAAGAACTTAGATAGCTAGAGCAACTTTTATGAAGTTGAAGAAAATTTGTAACAAATAGCTTAATATATCTTTGAGACTGAGGATGTTGAAGTGTCACATATGGTCAGTCCTCCTACTGGATGTGAGATTTTGATTATTAAAAAGGAGATGTTCAATAGAATAAATGCTTTAGGAATGTGAATGTATAAAAGAATCTGATGGACTGGTGGAATAAAAACTGGTGAGGTACTTCATCAGATAGGAAAACAAAAAGAAATAGAATTGATCATTAAGAAATGCAAACTCTCATATCCTGGACACATAATTTGTCATGACAAACATAATATACTGTAATGCATTGCTGAAGGGAAGATTGAGGATAAACACGAAAGGGGTAGAAGGCAGATTTCTTGGGTGAGTAACATCAGAGACTGGCAGGATCTTAACAAAGAACAACTAATCCAGATAATGAGAGACAGATGGAGATATGTCATGATGGTAGCCAGCCTTAGAAACTGAGATGGCTCCCATGGGGGTGGGTGGGTTTATTTTTATTTCCAGCATGAGAATGAGACAAGGAGTACTTTTTAGTCCGAGGTTTACACAGAAAAATTGCCTTTCCAAATAATTAGTGTCTTTTCCCTATCTGAAGAAAATTACTCATACACAGCATGCACAGAACTGACAAATGTATAAAAAGACACAAATGAGCGATCTAATGCTTCCGATTTTTGAAAGTTCACACAATAAGGGAACAACTATTGTAATTTTGCACGCTTTTGCAATTTGTTGAAAAGCTCATTGACACAGGAGGAAAATATGCTGGTCAAACTCCTGTTGCTGAGTATAATAAACTGCACTAGGGTAGGCCAACTAATCAATGAGGATTTAGGGAATCAACTTCTCTGAAGGTTCCATTAATTCAAATGGGTCTACTTTATTTACTATTCTAAAGTAAGTCACAGTAAGAGTAAACCCATTTGAATCAATTGAACTTACAGAGGGGTTGCCTCACCACATCCCCATTGATTCAATGGGCCTACTCTAGTGCAATATATTATGCTGACCAACAAGATTTGGACCATTGGCTTCTTGGCATCGAAAAGAATATGACAAATTTTGTTTAACTTACAAGACTGAAACAAGCAAGAACTAACATCCCCACTTTAGTGTCTATATGTTAGGAATGAGGGCAGCAACAATATTTGCAGCTGAATGGGCTCTAAAAATCTTTAGCCTAGATTGTATATATGTGACTACAATCTCAATGTGGATCTGGGAGAAAGCATAGATTACTGGAGCACTTCCCATAAACTACTTTATATATACAGTATAGTTATGTGTCCGCAGACATGTTATTGCCACAGGGATGCATTCTCACAACATACTTCTATCACCAAGCAAGGTGTTCATATATGTGTCATGCAGATCTTCTACACAAACAATTATTCACACCCAAAGCCAGATGATAAATTATTAGTCTGAACCAATTTTAAAGATGTCTTATTAATTCTCATGTTCATTTAACTTATGAAAAATATTCTCATTATTCCATTGTCTTTCTGTACAAATGTTTTAGATGTTCTCCACCTCAGTCAGATAGATGTCAAAATTTCATTACAAGAATCATGTTATGACTTAGTTTATCTTTAAATATACATGAGAGGAACTTACTTAAAGACCTTCTGTTTTCTGGCTTTGGTTCCTTAGAATCAGTTTCAAAGCTACTCAGTAATTCAGAACTAGAGGATCGCATAATTTTGTATTCATTGTTTCTTGACATCTTACTTTTCTCCTTGGGCTGGGGAAGATGAAGAAAAAGAAAAAATGACAAACCACCAAATGGCAACAGAAAGCTTGAAAACTGAAATTAATTTATTACCTGTGGCAAAATAAATATTTAAGTTACAGAATCATGAAGCAAAATATGTCCAGCATAAAATTATAAAACTTGAAAACCAAGTTTAATTCTGCAATTTTTAAAAAAAAGACACAAAAAAGAAAATGCAGCAGAGACTAATGTAGTATGTGTTTTTTAAAATATTAACCAATAAAGACCTCTTGTTAAATAAAATTTATGATGAAGGTTGTAATAACTTAGGACACAAAAGCAGGTTACTGATCCGTAACCATGGTTCTTTGAATGCTCATCTGTGAATTCACACATATGGGTATTTCTGCACCTATGCAAAATTCATTAGAATAGTCTAGAGCTCGAAGTAAAAAGGATTATTAGAACCACCACCACCACTGTGCATATCTGTGTGCCTAATGGTTATCCCCCAGTTGCCCAAGTCTGCCGCTGTGCATAAGTGAATGGCAGACTAAGGGGAGGATTGGTGGGTTGTGTGAATTCACAGATGATCAGTCAAAGAACCATAGTTAGAGGTGAGTAACTTGTTCTTCATTGTGGTCTGTGTGAACCACACATGTGACAGCATAGCGATATGAACCAGGGTTGCCACCTACATGTTAATCCGGCCATAAAGTGGGTCAGACTTAGGTGGAGGAGATCTCTGAACTTCCAACTCTAATGACCTAGCCATTCTCAACATAAAATCTGAATAACTGCAAAAATCCTACAAAGGTGAAGGACAACTGATATCTCCCATGTCAGATTTGGGGATTGGGACTACAATGGATGGGGAGTCCTGCAGAGATACAGTGTCTGAATCTGAATTGGTGGAGGGGGAGTAATCAGTAGAGACTGTTTCCTTACAGGACTTTAGTACTTTTTGTTTCTGGAAAATGCGTAGGTGAATACATATTTGGAACCTCCTTTTTCAAGTGTGTATGTGGTGATGTGGTGGTTAACTCTGGGTGTTTTCTCTGTGTTTCAATTTATCTCTATGAAACAAGATGTTCGGGTTGCATAGTGGCTTCGACTTCCAACTTCGAAGACTGGTCCAGAGAGTGCAATGTGTGTTTGTCTCTCTCTTTGATTTCTTTGATACCAACACCGGGGTTCAAACTCAGGAGTGGTATCACTTTTTTTAAAATTGGTGAGTCCATTCTGGTGAGTAAGGCTTGGACTGGGACTGGGATGAATGCTGAAGGTGACATTTGCATGAGGCCAATCAGTTGGAAGAGGTGGAAGATAAAGACGTGGAGCAATCTCTGTCCTTAAGTGCTGAAGGGCCATGAATCAGTAATGCAAGCCAGACGGCTACCTTCTTCATGCCCTTGCAACTCTTTTGCATAGTGCTGATCTCATTATCAAGTGGTCAGGACCAAACTCAGTTAGTAAATTGGTGGGGTATTTATTTCATTTCTGCATTGAAGGCAGTACCAATACAGAGACATTGGAGAGAAAATAGGCATGCCCCCGAGAGAACTGGTTTGCTTCCCTCATTTCACACCCAGGTATTCATGAGGGCTATAAGAAAGTGCCACTGTGGCCTCAGGTAACAGTTGGACATCAGACTGTAGAGGTACAGTTGTGGGCACATCACATCTGGCTCTGTTTCTGGTTCAAGGTGATGGGTTTTCTGAGGCTTTTCTGATGTGGTAGAGACTTTTCTTGAACTGCAGAAGCCACTTCTGAAGATGACTGTGGGGAGTATAATTGTCTCTCAGGAGACATTTCAAGTTCTGGATGTGGACTTCTTTGGAGCAGGAGATGGAGTTTGGCACCGACACCACTCTGGAGGTACTTGACTGAGTCAATGGTGCTCTTGATGTTGATGGGGGGGGGGTCAAAACAACTTATGTTGGTCTCTGATTGTGCTTGGTACCCAAGTCCAGTTGGATAGACTCCATTTGTTTAGATGAAATCTTAGAAAGCATTACTATTCGAACTGAGGGGATTTGCTAAGGTTAGAGAACGGACAAAGTTAGAGAGTCTTAAGCAACTTTTCTGAATGATGAAATCTGAGGTGGGATTGTCAGTTTCTAATGGCAACTTTTGTAAACTTTTGGCAGTGCTGAAAAGTTTGAATTTGGTGCCCCTCACTGAGGCAATATGATCACTTAGAATGTCCATTAGTGATGGAGATTTTGTTAGTGCATGTGATACACATTTTAAAAGGGCCTGTTGGGGCCATAAAAAGGCAAAGGATGGAACACAAATGATGAACACTAAAATGAATACTACTACTTTTCTTTTCTAGGGGAGACAGAGGATGAAGAAACAATGATGAAACTGATGAGGAAGATGATAATAAACAATGGAAAGGTAAGGGAAAGATAAAGGTATGCAAAAAGGCTCTAGAAACATGTTCTGACGGGTTTCCTAAGCAGCAGCTAAAAGGAACTGAGAGATAACCATTAGGTGCATCGACATGCACAGTAATGCGAGTCATCCTAAGGATCTTTTTTACTCTGAGCTCTAGAATATTTGAATGAATTTTGTGTAGGTGCAGAAACACCCACATGTGTGGTTTGCAGAGACCACAACAAAGAATCTCACTTTAAGCATTTAAAAATCCAGCTTCAGGGGGAAAGTTGAATACATGCTTAATTGTCTGCTTCTAAATTCAATGAAAATTTCAAAAGAAATTAACTTTCGCTGACATTTACTTTATACACTTACACTCATGTGAAATAATGGTTGGTTCAGCTTACATTTATAGCTATATGAATGTTCCTGAGAATTAAGATGTCAATATCACATACCCTTTCCAGGGACTAAGTCCAAGAAAGCATGCACATGGGAGGGCTATACATCAATTTACTTTAACAGATCATTACACATGCTGAGCTCAAAATGAGAGGGATTTAGATGTTAGTTATGTTTGCCCACATATCCATGTAGAAACTGACTGAAAACAAGAATAAATATTTCGAAATTTCATTTAAAGCATATATCCATTTGTTTCTCTGAAGATATTATAGTTCCATACACGGTTAAAAAAATTCTTTCCTCATACAAACTTGTGAAACACATTAAAATGTGAAAATTTGATTGACTCTACTTTGTCCTCTAACTTTTAAACCCAGGTCCTCTTCAGCTGTCACCTGACACTTCACAGAAGGCACCATGCTGTTGAACAGGATATTTATTTATTTATTTATTGCATGTCTATGCTGCCTTTCTCCCAACAGTGGGACTCAAGGAAGCTAACAGATCATTAAAAGAGCAAGCATTAAAACAAACATATAAACAGCAATTAAAAATTATTAAACAATTAAATAAATAAAATCAACATATAAAACAGATTAAAAATATAAAAACATTGAAAAAACACAATAAAAGGATATATTAGCAGCAAACATGGACCAACAAGCTGTATTATAATCAGATATTTAACAACAAAAACTTGTTGGACCAAAAATGAATTCTGGCCATTAGTTCCATGATATTTCTTGCATATCTACAATGAAGGAAGAACATTTCTAAGTGCCAAGGAATGCAGGCATGGAATGCTTACGCTTACTGCATTGTGATGAATGATGGAGACACTGTGGAGAATGTTCCATATATTCATTTAGGGGCCAAAAAAAAAAAAAAAGAATAATTCTAATAAATGTAGGCAAGTATATGTCCTACTGAATAGTGTCATGAATGGACAATACTGGTAGTTTAAGCCTACTCAGAGCTTTGGATGTCATAGTGCAATCCTGCACATGCATACTGAAAAGCAAGCCCCATTACATTCAATAGAACTGACCTCCCAGGTCAACATGCACAGGATTGCAGTCTGAAGTTATTATTACTTGAATTGTCCTCTGAGACGGCATTTTAAAAATGGATTTTGGAAAAAAAAATACTCCAATCACCTTTCACTCTTATAATTCTTCCATCTATACTCATTTACCTGATACAGTACCACTGTTTATCAGAGCACGAAACATATGTATTAGAGCACACTTCCCCAAGGGTATCTACCCGTCCAACCCTTTCCTCTCATGCTGCGTCTACTCTGAGGCAAATAAGGAAAAACAATACTAGATCCGTATCCTATTGCAGTTATTGAATATTTTATTATATTACTGGATATTTTGTTATTATGTTATGGTTTATATAATTTGGTTCACCTCAGCCACCACATAGCAATCCTCAGTCAACTTCTTGTTTTTGTTTTTGTTTGTCTGTGCTATTAGCTATTCATTACTTTATCGTTTTAGCCTTCATGTTTTGCTTAATCATGTAAACCATCCTGAGTAGTATTTCACTAAGCTGGATGGTCTGGAAGCTCAATAAATAAATAAATCCACATTTATATCCATGTCTGAGGAAGTGGACTTGTGCATTAAAATACTGCAGTTATCACAAAGTTTTTTATCTTCTTTAGTTTTTATTTTTCTTTTGTTCTTGAGACTTTTATATATTGATTAAAAATGGGGTGTGTTTCACCTCAGTTGTCTTCTACTTTAAAAATCTGCCCATGTATACACCCAGGGCATCCAAGACTTGAATTACTGCATTGAAAAAAATGTACAAAGTAATAGCTAAGACAAATACTGTACATACCAATTTCTCAATGGCATTTTTGATAGCGTGGAACCACTCCAGAATGACAAATTCAATATCTGATTGAAGGAGGACCTCATTTCCTGATAGAGTTGTGATCTAAATAACAAAGATAAAATCTCAGGTCAGTGAACAATGTGATACAAATCTTTTTTTTCTTTTTGGAAACATATCTCCAGGTCTTAAAAGAAAATCATGTAAAAATATTGAGGGACAACTTTCCTGTTCTTAAAATCCAGCAAGCTCAGAGGTAAGTGAAAGTACCCTTGAAAAGAACACACATGCAAAGGAAGCCCATATTTTTCTCTAAATATATATGTACACTTTTTTTAATTCTATATTTTTAAAATTGTTTTATATTCAGACTGCAGAATAGCTCACCAGCTGATAGTTTATCTATGGAGATCTATAAATGAATTTACATGGAGTGGGAAGGTTGTGTGCATGCTACTACTTTATGCTCAAATCACTATTCCTAGAAAACATTGAATTTGATAGTAAAATGCTCACAGATTTATAAGCTAAAATTTTAAGGATTAACGTAAAATTTTGAGACAAATTTTGAAGTTCATTCTTTAGCAGAATATTCAAAAAAGTTGTTAAGAAAAAAGTTTTTTTTTGCTCATAATGGCGATATTTGTCCTGAAATTTCATTTCAGCCTATTGTTCCCCAAATTTCGGCCCTGAAAGTCCCAGTCATCTTAACCAATGGCCAGAAATTCTGGGAATTCAGGTTCAAAAACCGCAACTGGGGTGCAAGATTGGAAACTACTGCTTAATCCCTACCACCGGTCACATTTTCACTTAGCACCAAGAGAAAATGTATTAGACAAGAATCCAAACATTACAAAAACATAAATGAGAGATAAAAGGGTTGTAGCTCTTGAAAGACTAACTGCTGTGGTTTAGGGTGAGCTTTGGTGGATCAAGTCCACTTCCCCAGCACAAATGTGTTATAAAGGTTCTTAGTAAAGGAGTATAGTACTAGTTTTTACTAGCACGTGTTAGGATTTCTTGTTAGGAGTTCAAGCCTAATGAAGAAGGTCTCTACAGACAGAAATATTAAAATTATTCCTCCATGTTTCTCGTGCGGTGCTGAAACAGTTAACCAAATGAATTAATCAACAAAAGTAAAAACATAAAAGCACTAAAGATCAAACTATACAAAAAAGCTAGCATGCCATTAGGAGCTCCCTTAAAATGGAAGGAAATTTTCTCAGCTCTGCAAAATGAATTTGCGTTTGTTTTCTGAGTAGTCTTTCATTCAGATACTGAAAAACGTGGGCTTCCTTTCCAAGTGTGGTATGCAGGCAAGGCAACTTTGAAAAAAAAATGCCTCCAGAGGAATAATGTTTTATCATTTTGTAACTGGGAAGATGGTATCTTGCAAGAGGTCCAGCTATTATAATGGCTAAGCATGGGATCAGGTCAACTAATTCTGAAGAACTGACTTCATTCAGCACAATGGGGAGGGAGGTGAGTCTTCCTGTCTTTTGCCTCTTGTAAGAGGGAGAAAAGAACTGGAAAGTTCCCTCTTGTGAGGAATCTTTCACATAGCCTGGACCCAACCTGTACAGAGATTTTATTTGGAGTAGAACTTCTTCAGCTGAAGATCTGCACAAATGCAAAAGGAAAACTCTGAAACTGTTTGTAATTGTAACCTGACATATTAAAAGAAAGAATCAACACTGTTAAGCAAGAAAAAGGAACTTATAAATACCACAGTGCTTAGCGTTGGGGAACTAAAGTAGATTGGAATAAGATATTCTCAAGGAGAAGATAAAGTGTTTCACTCTGGAAATCATCAACTCAGAAGAAAGGAGGTGTCTGTAAAAGTGAACCTTGATGCAGCACAAGCAGCTATGTGCTGTAAGGCAAAGCCTGACCTATTGTTTTCCATCAGACAATGGAACGTCTATCAACATAACCATAAGCCAAGTCTATGCTCCAGCTGCAGGTGCCAAAGAAGACAAAATCAAAAACTTTTATGTGTCTAGAAAGAAATGCTATGATCGTCATAGATGGCTGGGATAAAAAAGTAGGAAATAAAGAAAAACCAAATATCATCAGAGGATTCAGCCTAGCAGTTAGAAATAAAGCTTCTCAGCCTTTTGTCAAAGATCAAGTGTAGTGTAGAAATAAAGCAGGAGAGTGAATCATTGTTGAAAACCAAACAGTCTATGAAGGAAAATGAATGCTCCAAGCAACTGAACAGACTGGATTTATTTATTCTATTTTTTATTTACTTAAAATATTTTTGTTTCACCTTGGGACCCAAGGTAGGTTACATTCATAAAAGACAATATTAAAGTTATATTAAAGCTAACAACAATAAATATACAAATACTAAAAAGGATCAAACAAATACCATACTAAAAAATATCAGCAACACCAAAACACATGTGCTTGTGTCCAAGGTCAGAACCAACACTTTGAATTCTGCCTGGGAATGGATCAGAATGGATCAGATATGGACATCACCAGATAGACAATCCAGAAATAAACTGTATAATTAGAAGCAAAAGCTAGAGGAGCTCTTTTATGTCTGGAAAAACAAGATCAGGATTTCAGTGGAAATACAATAGATTAGACTACAGCTGAAGAACAGTAAGATAATTATAGTATAAAATATAATATAAATAACATTCATGAAGAATTTAAAAATCATGCACTCCTAAGCAAAACCAACCATGGATTAGAATAACTTTTGATTTAAATCAGAAATATAATTCAGGGAAAATGCAAAAAGACAATTCCTGTTGTCAAAAGAAAATAAGATCCATGTTGGATGACTGGTGAAACACTTAAAATTAGAGAAACAAAAAGTGAGAAGCAAAAAAATTAAAAAGTTCTATTGTGTGGGATCTAAGTGGGGCAGATCATAGTAGCCTTAGAAATAAGGCCTAACTTCTATCTAAATTCACACCAATTAGCCAGAGGTGGGAGAGGTGAGAGCTTTGCCTGCAGGTGGGAGCTTTACCTGCATACCAGAGGTCAAGCAGTAGTTGAAGGTTCTGGATTTTACCTCACATCCCAGGTCAGAAAACTTTGTTCTCCCCCATTCTTATCCTCCTCCCATTCAGACATGTACACATACAAATATTTTAGAATAATTGGATATGAATTAAAGTGGATGGTCTATAAATCAGCTCAAAACAGATTAGTTGTAATTGCGAGATAAATGATCAAAGCCAATAGCATTTGCAGACCTCTCGTTCTCAGGGTCACCATACGTTGGGAGCTACTTTGTGGTACATAACCATAACAAGCACTCGGACGTGCATTGCACTCACTTCCCAATGGTGCAAAAGCCTCATACTTCTGTAATTCTATAGCTCTTGGAAAGGATTCCTGTTAAGGTCTGTGTAATGTTAACAAATTCAAGCCTGTTTATTGCATGGATTAAATAAAATATACCTATTGGTTGTTGAGAGTGTTAACGTTTTTACATGACTAGTTGCTTTTAGAGGGGGCAATGGGTATGGAATTTTCAGATTTTTTTTCCCCACTATAGCTCATGGAATTTACCAGGAATACTCAGCCAGAATTCTGGAAGCTACAGAAAGAGCCCATGTCCTTACAGAAGGTTCAACACATACAGCTGTGGCTCAGTAACTCCCTCTCTGTGGCAAAAGCCATTAGCCTGAAGAGGAAGAGAGTGGGTGACAAATGAAGTCCATTCTTGCATTATGCCTAGAAATATTTACCGCAAGGATCATCATCATAAGTGCTGCAGAGATCAAAATGGGATAAAACACCCAGCTACCTCACTGGGTGTTTTTTAAAGTCCAATTAAAAACTTGGCTCTTTCAGCAGGCCTTCCCTCCTTTCCTGCTCAATTATGTTAACTTCCAAAATAATCCCCTTTATAAATCTTAAAACAGCTGTTCGCTAAGGCAGGTGTTCATATATATACATATACATATAGAGCAAAAATCTAAGTTGGTAGTAAGAGACAGTGACCTGAATAAGACTTCTTTATAATCTGTGCATTTGAATCATGTACATATAATGGGAATTCATTATGCCTTAGAAGATTGTGATGTTCTGAAAAAGATGTATTTTTGAAAATGTGGCAACAGTATTCCTGTCATGGCAGGAATACTTAGCTGATGGAACCTAAGTTTACAAATTTATATATTGGGCTGGTTTCAAATGTTACATATAACACTGCAAATGCATTCATGTGCACAGAGCCACATGAATTAGACTAAACACAATGGTCAATCCAATCTAGTACATCTTTTCAGTACAAACAAACCACCACTTAAATTATTACAAGAAATAAAAATTTCAAAGTAAAAGCAACACACATAATTAGAGTGACTTTATTTTGAAGGCTTAAGAAGGAAGCAACATAGTTCACTCTTCCGTTGAGTAAATTTGAGCTTTATTAAAATACAAGTATTTCAGTATTGCATAAACATTTGTACCCTTATGATATGTAAAAGAGATACTTCAGTGCTAACAAGACCAAAGCAACATTCATTTTGAAAGTGCCTTTGTCTTAATATGCTGTTAGTAATAATCATATATAATCGGTGATATATGAATATATCAGCAAAAGTAGATCATAGAACAGGGAGAAGAGAATTCATTCAAATACTCTCTGTTTGAGATACAGTTCAAGTTCCTTCCTCTGTAATCTTCAGAGTTAGGAGACATTTTCAAGAAGACTGCTACTGCTCTCTACAGTTTAAATGCATCCACTTCTTAATTACAGTCAGTAATTGACTTTGTTCTGCTCCATCCTAGACATTCAGAGGAAAACCGTTATAGAGGCTTTGACTTGGTGAAACACTGTAGGTTTTTTAAGTCATTTACATATATTTCCTACTTGGAAGTCTTGATTGAAAGTTTTTGGAAGTAATTGTTAAACATATTTGCATTTCTAACAATGAGAGTTCAAAAACTATTTGGGGAAAAAGAGTTCATGGGGGAAAACGCCACATTTGGCTCGAACAATCTACAACTGCAGTCTTATATTAAATATAACTAAAAACAAAGACAAAACTCTCAATAGTAACACTATTTTGAGCATCTCTTTTATCATCCATAAGAAAAATACAGAAAACATGACTAAAGAAACATGGGAAGAA